GAGGGCAGATGAAGTAGAGTGGGCTCAGGTGGGAGGTGAAAGTAAGCGTGGATACCAGCCACGAGGTGCACCAGGCACCTGGACAGTGAGAGAGCAGAACAACATTGCCCCCTGAAGCCGACCCACGCTTTTGAAAAAACTTCCTTTCCAGTCTGTGTACCATAGAGCTTTGCCTCTAGCTCTTCAGTGTTCTGAAATGGCCCAATCTGTGAGATGCTTTGTTCTGGGATCTGTTTTTTTAGCGTATGTTGTTCTTAGACTCCAAGTGCACACTAGTGTATCAGATGCTTGTGGACACCCTACTGTAAAGAATCTACTTACCTCTCCCCCCTCCAATCTCTTAAATGTGTTTGAGCATCCCTTTCCCTTATAATGGCTAGGAGCAACACACACTGATGTAATGGGATATATAATATCTAATAAGGCAATTTTAGAGAGTACATGTAAAAAGAGAGTGAAGGGAAAGAGAAAAGAGACAGTTTAGGGTGTATGAAGGAAAATCCTGCCCCCTCCTATCCTTGCTGCTGAAAATAGCCCAAACACCTTTAGGCTCCAAAGTGCTATTGGCTGGATTAGTTGAAGCGATGCATGAGCAGATAAAGAGTGGGGTCAGTCATGCCACTGGCCCTTTGCTAGGGCCTGCTGGGATGCTAGCCTTACCCTTTCACTTGTCAGGATGCTTAACTGATCACTCTTTTTTTTTTTTTAAGATTTTTTATTATTATTTGACAGAGAGAGACTCAGTGAGAGAGGGAACACAAGCAGGGGGAGTGGGAGAGGGAGAAGCAGGCCTCCTGCCGAGCAGGGAGCCCGATGCAGGGCTCGATCCCAGGACCCTGGGATCACGACCGGAGCCGAAGGCAGACGCTTAATGACTGAGCCACCCAGGCGCCCCTAACTGATCATTCTTAAAGCTAACCTATGGAAAGGCAAGTCTTAGTTTCTCTCCAGGATTAAGAACAAGACCAGAAAAAAGGGTTGGATGGAATATTTCCAAGCAGATTTATTACTAACTCCACATGCAAACCAACAGTCAAGCCAAGGGATCTTAACAACTGAAACTTTGCTGGTTGGGCACACACTGATGCTTAGGATGAATTCCTCTCACCACTGGCCCAGGAATCAAAAGGAACCAGAGAAAAGGTTAGTTCAGAGAACATTTTGATATTTTGGAATTTTTTTTTTGAAAGTTTAGGCTTTTGTAGCCCCAAGTGGTTCTGGGAGAAAAAAAAAGTTATCAGCTTCATGTGCAGAAAAACAATATGATATACTCAAGCTTATGGTTTACCAGTAAGTAAGCTGGCTAGATCTACAATACAGACACTGGAATATTCATTTCTCATGGAAGCTCTATTCAATTGAGTGCAAGTCTATTGACAGGGGTTATCTAATTTGTTAAAGTAACTGCTAGGCTATAGAGAATATTAATACTGAATTCTGATTAAATAGACTTTGGGGGGATGACAAACCTGAGCAACTAACAAGAATATATTATTTCTATGCTCCAAATACATAATGTTAAGCAGACTGGTGTCTGTCTCCATGTAGCTTATAGTGGTATTTGTAGTAAAAAACAAACAAACAAACAAAAAACAGATGTTTCAACCAAAGAACACACACACACAGAGAAGGATGAGGATTCTTTGAGTTTCCCTTATGCTTGATTTATTATCTCATGATATCCTATGTTTCATGAGAGGAAGCCTAGGAGGGAGGATGGTGAGGGGGACACAGGCGCTGGAATCAGAGAGACCAAAGGATCAGTCCCACCCCTGCTTAGTCATGTTATAGCCTTGGGCAAGTTACCCAACCTCTCTGAGCTTTAGTTTCTTCAGAGAATTCTTATTTCATTGGGTTCTTGGGAGGAGTGAACAGGGTAATGTGTATCTGGTATGCAACAAGTCCTCAATAAATAATAAATATTTTAATGGCCAATATATTGGACAAAGATGAAAAAAGATGGAGGGTAGGTATGGGGAAGAGGTTTAAGGAATTGGATGTGAACCTGGAAAGGAAGCAATCAGGTAGAAGGCTAAGAAAATAGTGTTAAGAGTTTTGAAAACCTGCAGAGTTATTAGATGAAGCATAGGTTAATTTGAACACCCTATATTTTCTAAATCTGGTATATTCTTGATCTTCCTAAGCGGAATGCTAAATTACTTAGTATGGTTTGGTAAAAGTAGCAGTGGTGGGATCAGGAGTCAGCAGACCTGCCTTTTAAGAAATTCTCAGTGTTCAGAAAATAACACATATGACACATATGCAAGGTTATTTTTTGTAGCACGGTTTCGAACAGAAAAAGTTTGGAAACAATGCACAATGTTCAATCGATTAGGTGGGTCATTCATTTACCAGAATATTATGCAACTTTAAGGAATATTCAGTTACCTTTTAATTAAAATATGAAAAGATATACAAGATTTTAATTAAAAAAAAACAAGGATCAAAGCATTGCATATAATATTTTACTTCTTGAGTATAAAGCTGGGGGAATTAGTATCTCTCTCTCTATTTTCTTAAAGATTTTATTTATTTATTTGACAGAGAGAGAGACAACACAAGCAGGGTGAGTGGGAGAGGGAGAAGCAGGCTTCCCGCTGAGCATGGAGCCCGATGCGGGGCTCGATCCCAGGACCCTGGGATCATGACCTGAGCCGAAGGCAGATGCTTAACAACTGAGCCACCCAGGAGCCCCTAGTATCTATATTTATATTTGCTTACATAAACCTAAGGAAGCTGGATGACCATAGAAATTAAGAAAAGTGGTTTTTGTGGGGCAGAGGCTGGGAAGACCCAGAAAATGACAGATAAGGACTGTATGCCATTTTATACTTGCTGGCTTTTTCTTTTCTTTTTTTTTTTTTTGAGCCAGGTATAATTTCCATTTAAAAAATAACTTAAAAAAAATTATGGGGGCGCCTGGTGACTCAGTCGGTTAAGTGTCTAACTCTTGGTTTTGGCTCAGGTCAGGATCTCAGGGTGGTGAGACCGAGCCTTGCTCCGCGGTCAGCGGGATGTCTCTCTCTCCCTCTCTCTCTCTTTCTCTCAAATAAATAAATAAATAAATAAATAAAATCTTTTTTAAAAAGTTAAAAAAATTTAAATGCTTATAAAAATGTGAATGCTTTAAAGGGGTGTTATTCATAATTTAAAGTTAGGAATCAGATTGCTTTAGCCTGACACTAACCTGAGGTCAGTTCAAATTAAGAAGGATTGAGTTTTGATTTGTGAAAGAGGATGAAGAGGGAACAGGGTCCCTTTTGGAGCATAATATATCCCAAGGATCAGAGTTAGAGGTGGGGTATATTACGAGAGGATTTAGAGTCTAAATTGTGTCCTGGGGTACTGGAGCAGTGGGGAGGCAGGTCAAGATGGGGGGAAAAGGGAGAAAGAGGGCAAGGATCCACCCTGCCTACTAGGTGGTTTTGCCTGGGTCCCTTGGAACTCGATCGCACTGAAAGTCAGCTCCCTACTGACCTTGCCAGCACCATGGAGCCAGAGGACTTCATTAGCATTTCAAAAGCATGACACCAGACAACTAGTGACCGCCACCCAAACCTGGGAGCTGAGTGGAAATAAAGATGGAGCATTTCCCTGGTCTGAAGTTAGAGCCACAAGATGGAGGTTATGATAGCTAATTTTTTATCCGAGGCACAGAAGAACTAAGGGAAGGGATCTTTTAGAAGTTTTCACAAAGATAACATTTCTGAGTTATGGACCAGTATTAACATGAGAAGGTGACAGATGAGGAGGACACAAGTGTAACGGCTGAATCTTTCTAGAAGACGGATGATTGTGGCATCACTTCAAATGTGCTTTCTACATGATAGATTAATGGGAGGTTGGATCACTAATCTGTTAATCAGCAGCGAGAATATTGATCTATTGCATGATGATGCATTGCAAATGATATACTGCAAGCTGCTTTTGCAGAGCTGGAAAGGAAAAACAACCTTTATACCTAGAACTTCTTTAATTAGACCATAGTTTTATAAGAAAAAAAATATGTCTAATAAAGTGGTGTGGTCCCTATTCCATTATGTATAAGCATCCTTTCTCCACCTTCCCCGTGAATAAACAATAACTGCACATTATTGGCCTAAAATATTAATCGTTTCAGGCATAAATGAGCTCCTGTCATCACTGTGTGGGGTTACCAATCTTTACCAAGTCATTCAGCATCAAATTTTAGCATGTGCCATAGGATTGCCACATCTCTGGTAGGAAATGAAACTGTTTTCCCCAAAGGACACTAATGTGCCCCTTTGTCTGGCTTATGGTCCTAGTTCTGTGCTGCTTGAGGAATCAGCAAAGTTCAGAAAGCTTTATACCGAGAAATAGAAAACAGCTAACATATAAAACAGAAAGTGGCATCTCGCGAGCTCTGCTCATCTCTTGTTTGAATATTGGGCTTAGGAAACACGTGATGACTTTTTGGACATTGAAAATCACTTGACATTTTGGGCTGGATACTTTGTTGCGAGGGGTCGCTCTCTGCAGCCGTGACCTTCAGCAGCCTCATCGGCCTCTGCCTGCCACATGCCGGCAGCATCCTCCGGTCGTGACAGTCAAAACTGCCTCCAGACGCTGCCAAATGTCCCCGGGCATCAAAATTGACCCAGTTTGAGAATTCCCAACTTAGAGGTTTACTCGTCTTTCTAACTCTTTTGTGGTAGTAAGGGTAACACACCTCAGCCTCATTCAACAGAAATGAAACCCGGCTAAGGATGTAAATGAAAGCAAAACCATTTATCAATCAAATGGATATATTTCCCTCCACCCCCAAAGGCAGCCCCCGAGGCACTTTCTCGCAGAACTAAGGATTTTTACCTTTCAGACCTCCCACACCAAAGGAAAAAAATTGCCAAAGGAAAGTGGCCACATACACAGGAGTACCAGGGATGGACTCATTCCTTGGTATAATTTTTCCCCCCAGAAGTTCAAACAGCCCTCTGTGGTAGAACAGAACGTGTTAACTCATGAATGAGAAAAGAACTCACTGTTTCCAGAAGCGGCTTTTCGGAATTTCGTCAGGTCAACGTGCGGGGGTCTGCTGGGTTTTGGTGGTGGTGGGCCCAAGGTAAACAACGGAGGCAGGGGCTTCTGCTTGGGGGTGGCTGCATTCTTGTCTCCCTTTTCCTTGTCTTGACTTTGGCTCCAGGGCCCTGTCACTGTCAACTTAGAAGGCATCTTAGGGAACTTGGCAGGAGGAGCCCCAGAGCCTGGCTCTTCCTGATTCATTTTGTTCAGGAAGATGTTCTTAGCAGCATCTATCTTCCTATCTTCTCTTTTCTCTTCAGCATTTCTGGAGAGGCCTGGGCTTCCTCTGTTCGCAGCAGGTTTCAGAACCACCCCAGAAAAGGGTGAACTGGACGTCTCGCCTCCATGGTCTTTAGTTTCCTGGTCTTCTCTTGCTGGTTTTAAAGGGCCAGTTTTGACCTTGGCTCCTAAGGGAGGCGGGGGTCCTTTCTGTAGAGACGCATTCTTGGTGGGGCTCTCGTCTTCATGGGTGTCATCAGGACTCAGGGATGGCTTCTGGCCAAAGATGGGCTTGGGAAAGAGGGGCTTGGGCTCATGGTCCTGTGAGGCCGACGCAAACTTGCCTTTAACCCCAGCCAGCTTGGGGAATGCTTGCTTCTGCTCAGCTTCCAGGGCTGGAGGATGAGACCCTGGCTTGGGGCCGGGTGGCTTTAGGTCATGGTCTTGGTTTATACTGTGAGGTGAAGGCTTATTCCCAGGGGGCCGGGGAAACACAGGTTTGGCATCTTCCTTGGGCACGGTGACGGGCTTAGGGCCTAGAGGTTTCGGAAATCCCACTTTCACCTCAGGGTCTCTGGTGGCCGAGTGTGCCGGCGGTCCAAATCTTTGGCCCACTCCCGTCGGCTTTAGAAACGGGGGCTTGGGCTCCTTGTCAGGCTTTTCCTCAGACGTAGGTTTCACCGCCAAAGGTGGCTTTGGGGACCCAAACTTAGGTACGTTGCTAGGTCCCGCAGGAGTGCTGGCACTTCCTTGGTTGTCAAAGAGATTCTTTCTTGCTTGTACTCCTGAAGGCGAGTTTTGCCCAGGGACCTTGAAGGGGCGATTGCTGGCAGAGACCTCTTCCATGGGGTTGCCCCCTGTGTTAAACTTTGCCATGAGGGACTTCACATCTGCTTTTGTATCCTACAAGCACAGAGAACAAAAGCTAGCTGAGAGCCAGAGGTCTTAATTGCACAATTTAAAATACTACACTCTGAAGGGCTTCCTGGTTTGAGGCCTGCCTGGTCACTGATTGGTTGGGGAGACACTGTCACATTTATCTTCCTCTATGGCAAAATAGTCTGTGAGAGTTTCTTGAAGGGGGAGGGCTGTTGTGCATGTATTGTTTGGGCTTTTTTTTTTTTTTTTTTTTTTGCTTGTCTTACACTGACTTGCTTATTTCTGTTTAAGTGACACTACCTTTTTTTTTTTCTTTCCCTCACTGTTTCTCCAGCTCTCCTGTTGGATTTACCCTTCACTTGGCATTTATCGACTTTGTTTTACTTGAAAAAAATATGGAAGTGGCTAATAAGGGACTTCTTCCATATTTTACAGTTGAGCCTCTTATATAGAAACTATACTTGAAAAAATGAAAGTAAGTTCTTCTGTAAATTCAGTTTGTACACTTTCTACAGCATGGCCACGTTTAACAGCTCTGTGGTTTGCAAGAGCTCTCCTGTTCCCATCTGCAGTTAAGGTGTGTCTGCTTGCTAAACAGGGGATGTGGCAGAAAAAGTCACTCATTTGAATAAGTAAGTAATATGTGAGTTTTCCTACTTAATTATAAATATTGAGTGCTACTGATTCAACTGGAACCAGATGAGCAGGCAGAATGTGCTCACCTTCCAGACTGGTTCTGTCTTGGGGGCACAGGCTGGGGAAATCAAAGAGACTGGCTGGGAAGTCTCATGTCCAGCCTTCTTGCCTCTCCAGTCTCGTCTCTTTTATAAGGACATGTACTACTCCTTCTTGTAAGTCCTGCTACACAGTCTCTGTCCTCGACTAGAATTAGGATGTTACTCAGTAAAGACAGCAGGCAAATAGTCACCCTTCTCTGTGAAGGTGACTTTCCACTTAATCTGGAAACATTCTTGGTGTGTTTGCTCTTTCTCTCCAAAGCAAGAATTTGAAATTTTCTAGTTCTTCTAGAAATATTTGAAAATCGGAAGCATTAAAAAAAAAAATCACTGAAGATACACATGTGGTCATGACAATTTCCATTTTCATGCTTTAAAATTTGCCTAGAAAATGTTTTCTTTCTTCCCACCACCACCTATCTGGCCACACACCCAAAAACATTTCACCTTTTGAGACCCCAAAACCCCAAAACCATAGCATGGGCTCAATATATGGAAACTATTATTATTAGAAATATTAAGTAGCATATTCAAGGGCTCACAGCCAGGAACTGTGAGCACAGGGATGCACAGCCAGGTGTGCCTAGGGCTCTGAAGTCCAGAAAGGGTCTCATTCCTTTTTGTACCCCCACAACACCTGGACCAGGGCCTGGCATCTTCAGGCTTCTAATGCATATTTGGGGAAATAAAACTTGGCACTGAGCTGAATACTGTGAATAGCAATTTAAAAGAAATGGTGCCCTCAGCTGGAGTTTTTCTTTGTACCAACCTGCAGTGCCCGTGTATTTGCAGGATGGGAGAAAGGGACTTAAGGCACTAGAAGGAGAAAACCAGATGAGAGCAGCATTTTCCAGCTTGAATTTTGTTCCTTTAACTTACTACCCTATCTGCAAGTTGCTGAAAACATCTTATTTTCTACCTTGTCTTCCTTGAACACCTTTTTTTTGTTTTTATCCCCATGATTTCCTCCAATCCTCAAACAATCCCTGAAGGCAATAGGCAGGAAGATGGCAGAATAGGGAGAGTTTGGGTGGTGGGGGAAGGAATGGGAGAAGATGGGTCCTTCCCTGAACCCTCCCAAGGAGATCACAGCTGCAGAGAACTCCAAAGCTTAACACAAGATGCATAAAGAAGTATTAATACAAAAATTTGCTCTCGGGGTGCCTGGGTGACTCAGTCGGTTAAGCATCTGCCTTCGGCTCAGGTCATGATCCCAGGGTCCTGGGATAGAGCCCCGCATCGGGCTCCCTGCTCAGTGGGGAGTCTGCTTCTCCCTCTCCCTCTGCCCCTCCCCTGGCTCATGCTCACGCACTTGCTTGCTCTCAAATAAATAAATAAATAAAAATAAATTTGCTCCCCACATGTAAGAAAATCTGTCTCCAGGGAAGAACTCTTTTATTCTGGACTTATTCTATATTTTGCAATTTATATTCTAGATCTGTAATTTATTCTAGATTTATAACAAGAGGCTACATTGCAGAGTAGTTAATAATGCAGACTAGGGAGTCAGACTGCCTGGGTTTGAGTCTTATTAGCTGTTTAACCTAGGGCAGTGTACAAATTCTCTGGGCCTTAGTTTGCTCACCTCTATCATAGGGATCAAATGCTGTGTCATGGGGCTGTTAGGATGATGAAGCTAATCTCTGGAAGGCACTCCCAAAAGTGCTTGTAATATAAAAGGGTTTCCTAATTTTATACAGCAAGGGAAGCCTTAAGAATCATCTGGCCCAAGATGTGCATCGACAGATGACTGGATAAAGAAGATGTGGTATATATATACAATGGAATATTATGCAGCCATCAAAAGGAATGAGATCTTGCCATTTGCAACGACGTGGATGGAACTGGAGGGTATTATGTTGAGTGAAATAAGTCAAAAAGAGAAAGACATGTATCATATGATCTCACTGATATGAGGAATTCTTAATCGCAGGAAACAAACTGAGGGTTGTTGGAGTGGGGGGTGGGGTGGGAGGGATGGGGTGACTGGGTGATAGACACTGGGGAGGGTATGTGCTCTGGTAAGCGCTGTGAATTGTGCAAGACTGTTGAATCTCAGATCTGTACCTCTGAAACAAATAATGCAATATATGTTAAGAAAAAAAAGAAGAAGAAGAAGGTAGCGGGAGGGGAAGAATGAAGTGGGGGAAATCAGAGGGGTAGACGAACCATGAGAGGCGATGGACTCTGAAAAACAAACAGGGTTCTAGAGGGGAGGGGGGTGGGAGGATGGGTTAGCCTGGTGGTGGGTATTGAGGAGGGCACATTCTGCATGGAGCACTGGGTGTTGTGCACAAACAATGAATCATGGAACACTTCATCTAAAACTAATGATGTAATGTATGGGGATTAACATAAGAATAAAAAATAAATTAAAAAAAAAAAAAAAGAATCATCTGGCCCTCCTCTGTCACTACACTGGAAAGGAAACAGTAACCAAAGGATTAAAGCAAAAACCTACGTAGTTGCAGCAACTTCTTGTCTTGGATTTCATGGGGGAAAACCCATGAAACACACTAACCCATTGTCAAACTCCACATCCTGGTTTTAATTTAGAAAATACGGAAGTGGTTTATTTGGAATTGCAACATAAGTTTCTTAGCTACCCACCCAGACCCAGGAGGCAAGGTAGCGCCATGGTTAATAAACCAGGCTCTAGAATTATTGACTTGGGTTCAAATCTTGACTTTGCCATTTACTGGCCACATATCCTAGCAAGTTTTTTAACCTCTCTGAGACTCAGTTTTCTTCATCTGTAAAATGAGAATAATAACAGTACCTATTTTTCCACAGGATTTTGTTCTTAAATCAGGATTAAATGGGTTAATGCATGTAAAGTTTGTAGGTTAAGAATTACATGTACTATATATCCAAAGATTGTCTGCCAACATCATTTTTTCTAATTCACTATTCACATAACATCATTTTCTCCAGGTGACCAAGTTTTAAGTTATAATTGTCAATATTATGTTCTAATTTTATTTATTTATTTATGAATTTTTCAGTATAGTTGACATGCAACGTTACATTAGTTTTTGGTGAACAACGTAGTGATTTGGCAAGTTTATACATTATGCTACATTATGTTCTAATTTTAAATCAATGTGACTGAAACAAACATACTGTTAGAAAACATAATGGAGTTACTATGTTTGAGTTTGGTTTACCTACACTTCAAAACTTTTCACTGAATGTTGGAAGACAGGAAAGAAATAGTAATACATTCTTATGTAAGACCCTTTGAAGAAATGGGAGCAGCCCCTGAGCTTACACTAATATGTCTGGCAAATCAATAGCCCAAACTCTACAACTATGTGACCACTTATTCTGACTGCTTAGCTTTAGAAGTTGTTTCATCATTTTCATTGTTACAAGTTTATTGGACCAAATTTTCAATATCCAGATTTGCCCTTAATCTTTTTTTTTTTTTTAAAGATTTATTTATTTATTTATTTGACAGAGAGAGAGAGAGAGCGAGAGAGGGAACCACAAGCAGGGAGAGTGGGAGAGGGAGAAGCAGGCTTCCCGTGGAGCAGGGAGCCCGATGCGGGGCTCGATCCCAGGACCCTGGGATCATGACCTGAGCCGAAGGCAGATGCTTAACAACTGAGCCACCCAGGCGCCCCTGCCCTTAATCTTAACAATAATAGCTAAATTTCTTTCATAATGATAAGGATAGAAAGGAAAAAAAGATTAAAATTTTTTTTAACATTCTCCCATTTCATTGTAGATTGAATAGCCATTCCATTTTCCAGGGTTCTTTTTACTTTTAAAGAAAGTTAAAAAGAGGGGCGCCTGGGTGGCTCAGTCAGTTAAGCGTCTGACTCTTGGTTTTGGCTCAGGTCATGATCTCAGGGTCGTGGGGATTGAGCCCCATGCTCAGCGTGGAGCCTGCTTGAGATTCTCTCTCCCTCTCTCTCTGTCCCTCCCCCCTCTGCCCCTCCCCCCTATAGTGCACTTCCTGTGTGTCTCTCTTTCTCAAATAAATAAATAAAATAAAAAAAAAAACCTTAGAAAGAGTATAGGAGCCATGTATCATTGTATGATAGAGTGAAAATTCAGTCAACTCTAAGCCTTGAAACTCTAAGCCCTATTGCCCCAGTTCTAGGAGTATCATATATCCTGACTTACCAGTATAGGACAAGTTTATGCCTATTGTCCTGGAAGAACTATTAATAACATTCACATTTACTCTCAAAATTGACCTGCTTTAAACAATAAATTACATGGTGAATTTGCCCAGTTCCTCACCAGAGGCAACTACTGTCCTCAGTTTCTTATGTATAT